GAAAGTTCAAGACTACCCTCAGTACAAAAGTTCTCCCATACATATAACCTTCCCATAAGACTTTTTTTTTTTCTTTTGTTTTTTGAGACAGGGTTTCTCTGTGTAACAAGTCCTGTCTGTCCTGGAACTCTGTTGATTTGTAGACCAGGCATGCGCCACCACAGCCCGGCTTAATATGACCTTTTAATGGGATTCCGGTGGATGTAGTCTCAAAGTAGTCCGGTTATACTGGTGGACTTCAGCTCCAAACCTATAATCCTATGAAAGATGGCACGGAATTCTTGTCATTGTTTCTAGCTTTGCCGTCTGTGAGATGCAGTGCCTCTTCTGCATATTTCCTTTCAATGACCAGTCACTCAGGGGATGAGGTCATCCTGGTACTATTGATCTTGCTCACTGGGGCAGTATCCACACACAGAAACTAAATAAAGGGACATAAAACCAAGGTGCAAAAAAAAAAAAAAAAGTAGCCTGGCTGCCAATTTTAGAGAAATTTTAGAAGCATCTAATTTGCAGTGTGGCAGGAATCCCAGTTTATAGCTGAAGTGGATCTGTCGCTCTGTGGTCAAGCACGCCTGGGCATGTCTGGTGACCTGCTGAGGCAAGACAAACTGGCTAATACAGGGTGGAGGCTGCTTCCTAGACTAGAACTCATTTTGCTTAATCGAGAAACGAGAGAAGTTGTGTAAGGAAGACTTAGTCACTCGATGGAGAGTCATACGTGTAGCTTGGGGTAGCTGTGACTCAAATCTGTGGCAAGTGTAGGCCCATGAGAACCTATCTGGGTCTCTAAAGGAAGCAGAACTCAAAGGCATAAAGCCCTGTTTCACAGGAAGCCTGGACCACAGGTGCAGTGGTCCACCCCAGGTTTCCCCTAACAGTGCTGCTCACCACAGTGATACCAGTTTCTTCAGAGTTCACCCTGGCTTTGCCCGTTTGGTTTGTCTTTCAGTTGGCGCCTAGAACAGCAGTCAGGTGTGGAAAGGCAATGGGATGGAGTGTTAGGATACTTTCCAGACCCTCCACCCCAAGGGCTCCAGTGTCTTAACTTAGTGAGGGGCAGGAGAATCAGTGTGATTCAAGCCAGCGATACCAACTGGACCCCATTTGTTCTGTGCTTGGTGTGTCTGAATACAGTGCCTAATCCAATAATATTATGAAGTGGTGCACTATTGGGCAACTGATAATTTTGCATGTTAGAAATTTGGGCTCTTGGGGGTCGAAGAGATGGCTCAGCAGCTAAGAGTACTAGCTGTTCTTACAGAGGACCTAGGTTCGATTCTCAGCCCTCCACAACTGTCTATATAACTCCAGTTCCAGGGGATGTAAGGCCTTCATACCAATGCATATAAAATACAGTAAGTTACTAAAAAAGAAATTTGGGGTCACAAGGAAAGAGACCATCATTGCAACCGAAGGGACTTATCAGATAAGCACGTTGTGGTCGCTAGGCTGGACACACACAAGAAGCGCTTTTGGTTTTTCTTCTAACTCAGGTGGTGGCTGTGTCTTTCCCCACTGGCTGGGAGCCGACCTCGCCATCTTATTCAATTGACTACAGTTGTAGCTCAGGAAAATGAGAAAGGCAGTCACTACTCCAAGGACAAAAGGATCTCTGCTCCAGGCCATCAAATTCCTAGTGCTGGTTTGATCGGTTGAGAAGGATGAAAATATTTGCATTACAGTTCTTAGTAGGTAGGAGAGACAAAAAAGATTTGATTTTCCTCTGTCAGTCAGCCACAGCGAGTCCTGATCTCCAGCATGGCACACACACTGAGTAATGCATTTCAGTCCAATTCTGGAAATTCTCGGTGTACAGTCCAGGATGGTAACACATTCCTGACTTATCTGGATGAAGGACTTTGAAGGCTAGCGCTTAAGGTTAGCACCTTGCATTATAGAAGCATTTATACATGATAGTTGTCTCCTATTGTTATTTGATTTTTTGCTTTCCTTTGAGGCAACATTTTTGTTTGTTTTGAGAGAGAGAGAGAGAGAGAGAGGGTTTCTCTGTGTAGCATTGGCTATCCTGGAGGTGACTCAGTAGACCAGGCTGGCCTCAAACTCACAGAGATCTGCCTGTCTCTGCCTCCTGAGTGCTGGGATTAAAGGCCTGTGCCACCACAGCCTGGCTGAGGTAACATTTTTTGAGTATGTGTCCTTCTCCTGGTGAAACACTTCTGGCATTACCACATTACATACAATAGCATCCAGAGGTTAGAGCTGCGGCCATAGTACTGAGGTATTTGTGGTGATAAAGGCGTTTACCTTGTGGCCCACACTAGCTGGTCTCAAAATTGCAGTATTCCTCCTGCCTCACTCTTGAGTGCCGCTTCTCTTTTTTTTGTTTTGTTTTGTTTTTTAATTAGCACAGTGAATTCTAGAAAAGCGAAAGTGCATTACCTGGGAGCGCTCCCGGGGGTGTGGGAGGAGCTAAGACTGAGACCAAACGCTGTCTTTGAGAAGGTATCCCTACTCCAGAGCATCAGGAGATGTGCCCTGGAGTCAGGGTGTGATCAGTACCAGCCTTCCTCATAATCTCCAGATCTTCACTTTTACAAAACAAAGGCCTCACTTCTCCTAACAAGGCCCCACTTGTCCTAACCTAAAGTTTTAGGAAAGGGCAGTGCCTCCCTTAAAGCCCTTCGGCACTAAGGAAAGGGACTCTCGCCCTTGAGTGGTAATCTTTTCCTTCCAGGCTTTCTTTTCTTTCTTTCTTTCTTTCTTTCTTTCTTTTTCTTTCTTTCTTTCCTTCCTTCCTTCACCACACCCTCCCTTCCTCCTTTTTGAGCAGGGTTTCGTTGCGTATCACCGGCCAGCCCAGAACTCACTACGTAGACCAGGCTGGCCACCAGGTCTCAGAGACCCTCCTGCCTCTCCCACCCTGGCGGGCGGCCACTCCTGGGCCCCACCCACGTGACTGGCGGCCGCGGTGGCCGGGAGAGGGCGTCGGGCCTTGTGGAGTGGAGTTACAGACAGTTGCGAGCCGCCCTGCGGGCGCTGGGAACCGGGAGCCGGGTCTTCTGGAAGAGCGAGCGCCCGGGGCTCCCAACGGCTGAGCCATCGCCCCTGGGCCCCCGAGAAGTCTCAGCCTCACCCCAAGCACTTTTTCAAACCCGAACTTAAAAACTCCGGGGCCCCTGAGCCGAAGAAAAACTCTGGCTGCCCACTTGGTGGGAGCCGCCCTGCCCGGCACAGGTAAGAGGGGCCGGTGAGAGGGAGGCCCGCGGCGGCCCGCTGTGGACGCGGGCTCGATCCCTCAAAAACCAGGAGGAAAAGGAAAGCAAAGCCCATTTATTTTACTCTCTGCCCCTTTCCGAGGGCCGACCTCCGGAGCGGGGCTCCAGCGCTCAGCAGGCCGGACACTTGCTCCGCGCGCCGCTGGCTCCCTCCGTCCCGCAGGACCCCCCAGACCCCGGGAGCGCGTGGCTCTCTCTGGGGGAGCGCAGAGCCGGG